AGGCACACAGCCACGTGCCAGGGGCTGAGGAAGGACATTGCACGAGGAGAGAGCTGCCACTTAGAGGGTCCCAAGTGGCCCACGCCCTGGTTATTATGGGTCCGTGAGAGCTGGGGTGGTCTCCACAAACCCCGGGGGCAGGGGAGGCGAGGAAGGGTGACTCTGCCTATTGCAGCAATGGAATGGGCAGCGGGTGCAGGGAGCACAGAGGCGCCCTGGTGCTTGGGCTGGGAGAGCTGAGGGCTCCACGGGTGGAGCTTGAGGTGTGGGATGTACACGTCCAAGGGTGCCAGGTTGTGAGGCTGGGCCTCAGTCTCCCCATCTGTCCAGGTAGGACATCCCCAGGTCTCACCTGCAGCTCTCCCGGCCCATGGGGCCATGAATGTGAGTCAGTTCCTCCCCTGAGCCCTGGAAGGGCTGGGGGAACACTGGTGACCTGTAAGCTTCTCTGCCAGTGAGGTTAGGGGACCTTGAGTCCCACCTGGGCCTCTCTGAGATGCCCTTCTTGGCTTCACTCCTCCTTGTACCTCCTCGGCGTGTCAGGGTTGGGCAGTGCCAAGAGTTCCAACAGGTTCTAGACAGTTAGAAAGGTGTGGGCCCTGCCTAGAAATCACGTCCCTCCATGTGGTGACAAGTTGGAGTACCTGGTCTGCATCAGGAGCTCATGTGGACTGAGCCTCACTGGTCAGGACAGGACAGGCCAGGCCAGGCCAAGAAAAGGGCCTGCATGGTCCAGGATCACCCAAGGATTGCAAAAAATGACTACTGTCAAAGGTCTAAAGAACTATATAGCCACGCCAGGTGTTATTTCTTTTTCCTCTTTTCCTTTGTTTGCTATACTGGGGATCCTTTTGAGAGTAGGACTAACTTGCTAAGCCACCCAGACTGGGACTGAATTCTCAGCTCTCCTGCCTCTGCCTCCCAGAATGCCGGGATTAAGGGCATGCGCCACCACTTTGGATTTTATTTTTCATAAGAAAAGAGAACAAAACCCTCTGAAGTCTTCAAGGCTGAGGCTTCACATTCATGTAATGACATTTTACACTTGCAAGGAATTTTATATTTTCAATGAACTTTCACAATCATTATTAATCAAGAGAATTCTGCCAGAGGAAATTTTTACAAAATAAGGCATTCTTGCTGGGCGTAGTGGTGCATGGCCTGAAATACCAGCTCTCTGGAGGCTGAGGCAGGAGGATTGCCATGAGTTCAAGGCCATCCTGGGCTACATTGTGAGTTCAAGGCCAGCCTGAATTACATAGCAAGACCCTTAATAGCGTTATGACTAGTAACAGTAATAATAATTATAATAATTACAATGACGGTCAGGCATGGTGGCACATGCCAATCCTAGCACTCGGGAGGCTGAGGCAGGAGAATCATCACAAGTTTAAGACCAGCCTGGGCTACATAGTGAGTTTAACTGCATAGCAAGACCTTATCTAAAAAAAATAGATATTAAAAATTATAACGATCATCCTAACAACACATACAGGACAGCTCTGTGTGCAGGACAGCTCTGAGGGCTTCCGGGACAGTACCGCAACCATGCACACAAGACCCTGGCATCAGTCTAGTTTTACTGATGAGGAAGTGGGTTTCAGAGAGGGTGCCATTCCTGAGGGGCTCAGTCTTCAGTTCTGCAGAGAGCCCTGCCACATGGGCAGGGGTAGAGCCCTGAGTACCAAAGAGAGGAGGAGGAAAACTCCACCCCTCTTCCCTCCTTTCAGAGGCGACGCCAGAGGGAGCCAAAGGGCCCCAGGTCCCAGATAGCCTGCTCTGGCACCCAAGGCCATGGGTCCTGCTGATCCCTCACAGCTTCCCACGGGTCACAGAGTGCAGTGGCTGGGACAGAGAGGGCAGCCCGAGTCACTCTTCAGGCCCCATCCGTCAGCCACAGGATCGTTACATTCTGGGGCCGTAGCATTCTCGGTTACCAGATGTCCGCCTGTTTCTTTGTCTGGGTCGCCCAGTCATTGTGTGACAATCATTGCCTAAGCTCTGGCTGGAGCCTGTGGCCCCAGATACAGATCCTAGGAGACCCAGATGCGTGCTGGCCCTGGGATCCCCTAGCGTGGACAGAGACACACACACACACACACGGGTGAGCCGGGCGTGATGGGGAAGTCGGGGGATCTCCGAGAGCCCGGAGGAAGATCTGCACCTAGCTGGTGGTCAGAGACCAGGGTGCGGGCAAACAGGAGGGGTGGCATTTAGATTCCCTCCCCATCCACCCATCCCAATCTGGCACAGCATGCCAGTCTCTGTGGGCCACCCTCTGTCACATCACTGTCACACACAGTATGGCCTTGCTGGACAGCTTTTGAGGTGCCTCTGGAGCAGTTATTTTCTCCTCGGCATGGTCCTTGCCTTCTCTGTGGACCTTGGCACATGCTCTGCACCCACTCGGGGACTCCTCTTCCTCCAGCTTCATGCCCAGCTCCAGGCCATGGGGCAGAAGTGACCTCCTCTTTCTCTGTCCCATAAGCCACCCCCAGAGAGAATTTGTGAGGGGCTTACAGATGTATCTTCAGTCGCCTCCAACCTGTCCCTTGACTGCCACACTGTGGATGATCGATCCCCCTTCTGACAGGATCCCCTTTTTCTCTGTCTGCATACCTGGGTGGGGTGGGGGTGGTCTCCAGCAACCTTGACCTGAGCAATTACTTGGGGATAGGCCACAAATCAAAATTTCACATAAGTAAGTAGGGGCTGTCCCTGGGCTGTAGTGGACACAGTACAACAAGCCACAGACTGCCTCTGTCCCTGTTTCGATTCAGGGACAGAGCCCGGGAGGTTTCCTTGCTGCCATCAAGCTGGGGCCATACCTGGCCAGGGTTGGGGCACATTAAAGGACATCGTTTCTGGTGAGTCAGATCTCCCCAGAAGGACACCCCCTCAAACACACGTTGTCCTGTTGCCCCACGCACAAGATAAATGTGGTTCTGAGGGAGAAAGTCTAAGGCCACATGATTGAGAAAGAGACATGATAATGCCTGATAATGGGGACTTCCTAAGATAAATACTGGGCAGGAGCAACCAGGCAGAAAAAGTGGGTACAGGGATAGGGTAGGAGCAGGGAACTCAGGAAGCTAGACCAGCCTTTCCTTCCTCTCTGCCCCTTTCGGGTCATCCCATGTGGGGAACCCCTTGTCTTGGCCACCAGGGCAATGCCACAAGCTGATGTGAAGTTGGAGTGGCAGCCACAGCCTGTGGGATACCTATCCGCTTCTGCTTGGAGGAGATGCCCGTGGGGCAGCAGGACACAGGCTGTGTGCGCCGGGGTGGAAGGGCACCGAGGGAAAAGGTTGGGCCCACCCTGGTGCAGGCAGAGTGGACAAAAAGAAAAAGTCCTGTCTTTGAGGAGGCCCTGGAGAGCAGAAGAGGAAAAAAGGAGCTCTTATTGGTGGTTGTCAAGGAGATGGGCCTTGGGGTTTGCTGAACTTTCTTCCCTGGGAGCGTCCAGCCTGGAGCTGAGAGGGGCCATTTATTCCCAGCCGCGCCTTGGCAGGGCGGGTCCGCTGGACTCCAAGGCCGAGGCTGTCAGGTGGAGACCCTAGCGCAGCCTGAGCAGAGTGACCATGATGTTCCTGCTGTCCCAGCCACCACCGGCCGTCCCTGACTGGGAGGCCCAGGCCTCGCACTCTCTGGCTGCATGCGTTGCTCCCCTGGCAGACGGCGGGGCTGTCGCGGTCCCCACCACCCACCACCCTGTCTCAGATGCCGGTCCAGGCCCACGACAGTGCACTGCACAGACCATTGTCCTCGGGGGAGGGGCCAAAAGTTCTCTAATGCACACCCGATCTTCGTGAGTTTGCCCTGACTGCCTTGTTGCAGCTCTGGGCACCACCAGGAGCCCAGGAAATGCGAACAGATGACCGCGTGGACGGATGGCCGCGCGGACGAGGGGTCGCCTTCACTGCCCACCGCGACCCGGGCCTCTGTCCGCCCCAGGCCTCTGTCCGCTGTCCCCTCTTCTCCTTAGCGCGCGTCTCGGTTGGGGGCAGAGGTGCTGCTCCCCATCCTTGACGCTCCAGGCTCGGGGC